ATATATTATATATATGTATATACATATTTGTGGATTAAATTAAACATCATGCAGCGAGCATCATTGAGAATGATAGCGATGAATCATCGGAGTTTGCACTTGCAACCACGCCGATCGTCTACTACGGCGACGCGATTGTCAATATCGGTGAGCCGTTTTCGATAACGTGCGTCATACCGATAACTGAGCGGATACACTGGCTAAAGAATGGGGAGTCAATAACGCGCCACAATTTGCGGCACGGTCACGACGAGCACTCCTATACACTGTCGGAGAGCGCCATCGAAGGTAAGTATTTATTGATGATTGACGATTGATGAAGAACGAGCAACAATCAATCGATCAACCAACTGCAGGCGAGAAGCACAAGATCGAGGCACATCTGAAGGTGCGGCACGCCCTAAAGGTGCACGAGGGTCGTTATCAGTGCAACAACAACAAAAATCATCGTCGCGACAGCGGCTTTCACATGCTGCACGTGCACAACAAGCAGCAGCAATCGGAGACGCCCACAGAGAGCGGCTATCGAACTATCGATGAGCTGACGCCCAGCTCGGCCGATGAGATATTTACGCGGACGTGGCAGGAGCAACAGCAGCCGCAACGGGGCTCGGAGTCGCCGTCCCTATCCTCCGCCAAGCAGCACAATCAGCAACAAGGCAATGCCACAAGTCACAGCTTTGGCTTTGGCTATGGCAGCTACGAGTCGCAGCAGCCGGCGACAACGCGTAGATACAACGAATTGAGCACGTGGCATGCCACAACAACAGGTGACGGCGGCCAGGCGGGTGTCAATGGCATTCATCGCATTTATTCAGCCACGCCGCCAGATTTTCCACCACCCCGCCTGAGTCTGCTGGAGCATACGGTGGCGCCACCCGAGCCGCCCACCATACAGCTGTACAATCAAACGATGCCGATTTATCGAACGCCTATCGACACTGCCACAGCGCATCATCGAGCGCAGCATCATCAGCAACAGCAACTAAACAATTTTCAACTGCCGCTGCCGCCGCAGCCAATGCAACCTACGCAGCATCATAATGAGAAATATCAAACATATTCACCGCAATTTGTGCCGCCTGCAGTGGGTGGCGGCGGTGTTGGTGTTGGTGTTACCGTTGCAACAGCGCCCACAGCGCAGACAGCGCTAACAACCAGCTACAGCAACAACATCGGTTTAATGCAGCAGCCAAAGACGTTCTTGCCTATTAAAAAGGGTGAGCCACATACACTCACACGCATTCACACTCACAGCTCATCGAAAAAATACGCATACAAACATACTGACACCCCATGAAATGACATCTCACTCACACTCATGCACACATACATAGATACAAAGCAAAACTCACTCAAAATTTCCATACATACAAAGCTCGGTCAATTACACTTCAATACACACATACATACATGCATATTCGAGTTGTGCCGCAATTAGTTCGATTCTGAACTGAAAGCTTTAATTACAGTTTATTGCGCTTAAGAATTATTGCGTGACAAAGCGTTAAATATGTATAATGGTTAATTTGATTTGCAAAGTGTCAAATTATTTAGTTTATCAATCAAGCGCAAAATAAATTTCATGCCGATAACCTTAAGTGCTCAACAAACACTCAACTCTTAATTGTTATTAATTTGCTATGTGTATAAATATAAAGTGATCCATTTATTAAAATTAAAATCAAATTGATAATCATCAAAATAATTTGCAATCGCGCAGTAAGGGCAGAACCCCTGTATCCATTGAGTGGCTTACACACAAGTGCAATAACTCTGATATACAAACAAAACAAAAATACTACGAATTTCACTCAACATTTCAACTCAGTCTCATTTGCGTCTCTCTACAACAGTAACTGCATTTCACTCATCGTCAAATTCCAATTCCTTAATTTTATTTATCGTCTAAGCCTCGCTCTATTGCTCGTACTCTCACTCGCCATACGCTCTCTCTCGCTCTCCCGCTCTCCTACAATCGTTATCAGCGCACGTCTACATTGCTCAAACTCCCTCACATCGTTTAGTCTATTTTTGGTGTTGTTAATCGTTCGCTAGTGTTCTTAGGCTTTGACTATTCGTCGATATTTAAGCTCGTTCGCCTTCACACACACACATAAACAATCTCACATACATACATACATACATACATGAAACACAGGCAAATCTTTAAGTGGAGCTTTTTTTTATTCCTTTTTGTTGCTTGATATATTTCTTCTTTCTCTTACTGCAACTTTTTGTTTTGATTTGTATGTGTGTGTCGCTATTGTTGTTGTCATTGTTGTTGTATTTATATATACATATTAATATATTTTACTCGATTTATTTTAGTTGTTTACCTTTGCTTTTGAATCACACGACTGGCAGGTGCACAGCGCCTCACTGACCCCGTTTCTCTCCCTCTTTGTCTCTCTTACTCTCAGTCGGTCTCTCCTCTCTTTCTCTCTATCTCCGGCTCTTCAATTTGATTGATTGGCAGCCATTTTGTTTGACGCATATTAAATCCATGTGTAATTCAGAATTGGCGCTCAGTCGCTTGATAAGCGTTGTTGCTTTGCCCCCAATGACTGTGTTTGTAACCGCGGCTTAATGTTTATTGCCTTTGTTTCATTTATTCTTTCGTTTGCGTATACTTTGTTTTCTTGTTTTTGGTTTTGCTTTCGCTTTTCTTTTTGTTTTTTGTATGGCGATAAGGACAAGGCTATAATACATGAACAAGTATTGTGTCTGTGTCATGTTTGTATGTGGGCTAATGTTTATCGATTATCAGTTATCGACAATTTAGCTCTTGCTTTAATTTTAGCTTGACTTTGCTTATAGCATAACTTGATAACTATAAATAACATTTAGTATTTAAATATCAATAAACGATTATTGCTCCATTTGCAGCTACTTTTAAAAATAAAAATAAAATTTAAATTATGGAATTAATTATTGCATATTAGAT